GCCTGTGACTTAGTCAAAAAATAGATTGTAGCAGAATACCTATATTACTTCTGTATAGTACACTATTTAAAATTTAATAACAGTTAATTAAGTCCATTGAATTTAAAGAAATTTGGTTTGGAATTAGGCTAAGTCAGAAGCAGCATGTATAAGTTAAGTGTAGAGAAATTAAAGCCTGTTCCAATTCTATTTCCTAAGTTCCACTCTTTATTTTTTATTCCTATATTAATCTAGGCTGGCTTCCTCTTCTTTGCATACTAAGGGTAGAGTGTTAAAATAGTTTTACTTCTTACTTTAGCATCAAACAAAAACTTAAATAATTCATGTGTTCACATATTTACTCATATATGGGGAAATGGGAATTTCATCATTGTCAATTAACAGAGGCCAAAGTGGTATTTCTAAAACCAAGAATTCCTAGAAAAGAAAAACACAAATTTCCTAGCAGTGTGGGAGCAATAAATGTTTTTTTCTTTATTTTGGGTGACTTGATTAGTAGGAACCTGGAAAAGAATATTCTGAGAGGTCTGCTAAGAAAGGTGGCCATGGCCATGACAGAAAAAAGAGCTTCAGTTCATTATTAATCAACCTTGAGAGGCTCTCTGCCCTGAGGTGGACATGCTGTCTTTTGCAATTGATGAACACTTCTTCTTTATCACTTCCTCCAAGTCCAACCAGGTTTGTACCAGCCACTTCCTCAAAATTTTCTCAAAGGAAAAAATTCTCCTTGAACTTTTATTCTCTTACAATTCAAAAAGTGAACTTAAGGAAGAAAAGTTTTAAATGCACTAAGACTGTTTTTGTAGGGGAGATGTGTGTGGAGTAGGGCAGGGAGGGAGAAGGAGAATATGTTTGTCTGTCAGTCTAAGAAAAAGTGTATAATAGACAGGAAGTTTAAATATTCTCTAATTTAAATATATCCCAGGTACCCGGAACCATGACTGGAAAGGCTGCATTGGTTGGCTTAGACGGACATAACAAATTATCATAGACTGCATCAGTTAAAGAAAAAAATTTGCTTCTCTCACTTCTGGAGGCTGGAAGTCTGGGGTAAGAGTACCAGTGTGGTCAGGCTCTGGGAGGGCTCTCTTCCTGGCTGGTCAATAGCCACATTCTCACTATTTACTTCTTAAATGGCAGAGAACAAGAGCACTCCTTGTTTCCTTGTCAGGACATTAACCTTAGTGGACCAGGGTTCTATCCTTCTGAGGACATTTAGCCCATACAACTCCTATCTCCAAATGGACTCACCTTGAAGTATGGACACATATGAATTTGGAGATAACAAAACATTTAGTCCTTAGAAAGGCAAAATGTTGGTTACTGCCTAGTAGGCCAGGTGAGGGCACTGTGGCCCCATGGAGCAACAAATGTCTCTGGGGAGGAGCCTACAAATCCAGCTGCTAGGCAATAGAAGGTTGAGATCAGCTTTGGTTGATGCTGTCCTCCACTAGAAGTTTTGATGACATATATGTGGATTTAGAGGTCTGATTCCCCAGAAGTGGGCTATGAACTTCAGTTATACAGTGGTTAGGGGATCTCTCTGAGCTTGCAAGGGAGAGCAAAGCTTGCTGCTGGGATGGGGCAGCCTACCTGCCCTGGTTGGGACAAGCAGAGGAAAACTGCCTATAAAAAGAAGCAAATGCCAAACTCAGTGCATCCTAGAGCAGAACAGTCTAACTCCATAAGCTTTATGAGTTGCTTTTGTGAAAAGCAATCTGAGTTCCTGGAACAGCTGGGCCAGACACGTGGCAAAGGAACCAAGATGCATGGGAATCTGCAGAGCCCACATTAGAGCAGTGACTTCATAGCCTCACATCCAATCAGAAGAGAGATGCCCAAAAAATCCAGTCCTCAGAGGATCAGAACCCTGGGCAGAGTGACACCTGCCCAGCTCAGCTACACTGAGTCATGGACCTCAGGCTTCTCTGCTGCATGGCTGTCTCCTAGGAGCACATGAGTCCTGCAGACAAGGACAGCATCTTCAATCTCAATTTGCTAACTTCTTAATCCTCTAATTTTCCCTTGTAAAGCATCTCTGGGCCCACTCTTGAGCTTATTCTCCATTTGTTTGTCCCGCAGGCTCAGCAGAAGCTGAAGTCACCCAAACTCCAACACACTTGATCAAAATGAGAGGACAGAAAGTGACATTGGTATATTCCCCTATCTTTGGGTACTCCACTGAGTACTGGTACCAAAAACAGGGCCCCCAGTTTCCAACGAGTTACAGCAGGCAAAAGGAAATGTCCCTGACCTGTTCTCAGCTCAGCAGTTCTGTGACTATTGCTCTGAGCTGAGTTTGAGCACCCTGGAGATGGGTGACTGTTAGCTGTATCTCTGTGCCAAAAGCTTGGCATAGTCCTATAAAGACACCAAAGTTCTGTGCACAAACCTCCTGCCCTGCTGGGTAACCTCAGACCTGACAGATCCATGAAGTCTAGAGACAAAAGGGGGGATAGGACAATGTATTGGGGTCAATGGTGCAATCTGGGGTTTCCTAACATTCAGGGGAAGGAGAATCAGAACAGACTCTTTCTAGTTGTGCCATTTCCGTGAGTTCTCTCTCAAATCACTTATCTATCTGACACACTATTCCATAGGGGTAAGGAAGGGATTTGTAACTTAATAATGCCCACTTTATTTTATTGTCAGGACATTTAATTTTGAGGTCAAGCTTATGTGATAATACTATAACGTGGAAAATAATAGCAAAATCTCACAGGTTTACTTTACATAAATAAAGGAGAAGAAAGTGAGGTATGCAGAAAATCAAGGAGACAGACTCCGATAAAATATGTTTGAAAACAAAGATTGAGTGGTAAGATGACTTAAAGTGATACTGAATGTAATATGACTGCCCTATCCCTCCTTGCAAAGTCCTCAATACCCAGAAATTTAGAACAAAGCCTTTCAGCAGTGGTGTCACCTGGCAGTCTTTCCCAATTGCTGACGTCATTGATACCTGTTTGCCAAAGTGAGAATCCTGAAGTTGCTTTTGACATCTTCCTTCTTGACGTCTGGCCCTAATCTGGTCTGCTCAGGGCATAGTTGGGTTCTTCTTGAAACACAGAAGTCGTGTTATCTCTGGTCATGAATGGTGAAAGACTTTCCTGGCTTCCCAAGAAAAATTCTGATTTGTTGCATGGCATTCGAAACTCACTGTCTAGATCCAAGGACCTTTTATGACAAAGTTTCTCTTCCCAAGGTATCCTATGACTCAGAATCCTTTCACATCCCTTTGTTTCTCTCTTTCCAGGCCTGAAAGTTCCCCATTTTTCCCAGACCCAGCATCCCCTGTGCAGCAGCCAAGGCCTGCCTCCCACCTATCTTCCTCTTCCCTTCATATCTGACATCCCCAACACTGGATGGTATTGCTCTCTTGGCTTCAATTTCAGAGAAAAATGAAGTATGGATACTGATGTCATGAAATGAAAAAGTTTATGCCCACTTATATGGAGAGCCAACAGGTTATAACAAATTATTTTTCCCTCTCAAGCAGCTCCTCTTACCTGAAATGTAATGAAGAGTCATATGGTTCATATTAGTTTTCCATACAACTTCTGTGATATTCTAAGCAACTGTGATTTCACAATCAGAATTGATGGTCAGTATTGTGAAAGCTGAAAATTGCCATGTTCTTCTGAAACAAAATTATGTTATAGTGTATTCATACATCTGTGTGATCCTGTGACAAAGAAATTCCTCACCACAACTCCATTTTAGGAACTTGGTGCTATTGGAACATCATCAAGCCTTCTTAGAAATTAGAATAAGAAGTGAAAGAAAAAAAGTGAACCTTGCTTAAAATGGAATCTCATCATCTTATCCAATTAGAGTTCAATGTCTGTGTGGTATGAATTTGTGTGTGTGAATGGGTTTTCTTGTGGGATCTCAACCACCTGAAAGCATTTACTTTCTTGTGCTCTTACTAAGAGGATCTGGACCACTGGCAAGAATCATAAACTCTTCTTGGTAGTGATATCAAATTCAGGCACTGCCAAACTTACCTTAAGCATGGCTTAAGTTTTTAAATTTGGAAATAAATATGTAAAATCTAAAAACTCTCATAAAATGCACTGCCTAAAATGTGACATTAATGTAAATGTAAAATATGTACAGATCTGGGTCTGCTTAATCAAGAGGAGCTATGGAATATAGTATTTCCAGGCTGGATATCCTTGAGATCATCATAACTGCTTATTTTTATGGATTGTATTATTCTGGTTTGCTACTTTCACCTTAGCATAACAACTGCAGTGGATAACATTTGCTTTTAAATCACAATGTTAGTTCATACAATTATTTATCTTCACAAGCTAATGATGGATTTGAAAATCAACATCAAATTGCCTGACTGGGAAAGCAGGAGAATGGGTGGGTGAGAGAAGGGTGTGGTGTTGTTTTTTATTCAGGCAGTCAGAAGAAAATCTTCTAAGATGGTTGACTTCTATGAACTGTGGGCCATTGGCCACCTGGGGGCACTGTGGCTGCAGAACTGCAGGAAGCTCTGGAGGGCTTGGAAGTGACCTAGGAGAGCAGGGCTGAATGGAATGCTTGATTGCTTGCTTGATTTAGGAAGTGGTTTGGACTTGATTTCACTGAGTGTGTCCTGGACATTGAGAGTTAAACACAGACTTGTCACCATCCAGGGAAGGGTATGGGTGCATGGGACTCTGTGTGCATCTAGGAGGAAGTAAGTTTCTCTGCTCCTGTATGGGCAAGGGAGGGTGAAAGTCTGGGGAGGCAAGGTTAGGGAATTAGGGTCAAGCCAGGCAGAGGTAGGCCTAGTGTGGTAAAAAATTATGTATATTACTGACATGTGGGGAGAGTATTCAACCTAATCCACCTACAGTTTTGGAACTGTGCAGGACAAGAAAGTGACATGGACTAGAGTCTGCGTTTTGCCATAGGGTGCAGTAGGCTGGGTGATCTTTAGGGTGAGTGATGTCAGAGCATGATATCTGCACCTGTCAGAGCTTCAGATCCCTAGAATGCTTACCCCAGGAGGCCCCACCCCTGAACTGAGCTAGGAGATGACACCTTGGGTTCCAGATGCTGCCATGGGCACCAGGCTGCTCTATTGTGTGGCCCTTTGTCTCCTGGGAGCAGGTGAGTCCTGGGTACAGCTTGGAAGCCACTGACCTTTGTTTTTCATCCCTGAAATAAAACTCAGCCAGAGAAGGCTGCAGCAGGAGACTTCCTCATGTGCTCTGTCTTCACCTTCTGTCTCCTGACCCACAGGCTCAGCAGTGGATTCAGGAGTCACACAAATCCCAAAATGTCTGATCAAAGCCAAAGGACAGCAAGTGACACTGAGATGCTCCCCTATGTCTGGACACCACTCTGTGTTCTGGTACCAACAGACCCAGGACCAGGGTCCCCAGTTTCTCTTTCAATATTATGATGGGGATCAGAGAGAAAAAGGAAAAGTCTCTGATCGATTCTCAGCACAACAGTTCAACAACTACAGCTCTGAACTCAATCTGAAGTCCTTGGAGCTGGGGGACTCAGCACTGTTTCTGTGTGCCAGCAGCATGGCACAGCCTGGCATGATCATCAGCTTTCTGCACAAAAACATTCCTGACCCTGCTTAGGAGGGAGAGGCTGCCAGACCAGTTCAGGCCCTGGGAAGCTGATTGGGCCTCTCCAGACTCTGCTTGCTGGTAAAGTCCGTGTCAGTTTAAAGTTCACAGAATCCATACAAATGCCATTTTATCTGTGCAAGTAACTGAGGGAAAGCAGCTTTCCTGGGCCTCATATTCAACGCAGTCTGTTCCTCCAAAATGTGTTGCTCTTCCCCTCACCCCTCAATCTGTAGAACTCTCGGCTCAGCTCTTTTCCTTTCCCAGGTCTAGATTAGCAGGATAGGAAGGTCAGCCCTCATAAGTAATTTTTATAACTTCATCTACAGGAAGTTGAAGTATCAAAATATTTCATGGCAAAGCAAAGCATATTTATTGTTCCTTCTTTTTGACCAAGAAAGAAAAGCATGACTTTCTGCCCTGTGGTCATTTTGCCATGGTATACATGATACTCATGATTTCACATGAGTAGAGAAATTTCCCAGCTGTGGAGCAAAGGGACGGGGATAATTGCTAAGGAAAGTTCAGGCTTCCTGTACATGATACAGGAAAGGAACAGGGTCATTTTTACTCATTAATGTACTTTATTCTTTAATTTGGGTCCCCTATTTTGCAAAAGGCATTGGTCACAGAAGATAGAAATTGGGAAAATATAATTTTTAAAATGAGGAAAATACAAAAAATGAAAAAGAGTGTGGTTTGTATCTTTGATTTTTTTAAAATTTATCCACAGTAGTTTGCTAGTTTTTAAATTATACAAAATTTCTTTTCTTTTTCTTTTTGGCTAGTTACCCCCTATTGCCAGCTTTTAAATTTGTTTGAGGTCTACCTTAAAATCTTAACATTTTATATTTTTTTAGCAGTGCTGGTGTTGAACTTAGGGCCTCACTTCTGGCTTTACCACTTGATCCTTGTGCCCCTCATCCCATTATTTAGAAACAGATCATTTTAATTGTACAAAATAATGGGTTTATTATGATATTTTCATTCTTATATTTAATATTCTTTGGTCATAGTCACCCCCATTTTCCTTTATTGCTCCCATCCTCCTCCCACTTACTGCCTTCCTCTTTCCAAATAGTTCCCCTTCTACTTTAGCGTATTTTGTTACTCTAGATTCCTTAACATATTTAAGCGTACCGTATTGTTTTACACGGAGGCACATGGTTTTACAGCAGATCTATAGAATTTATGTAAAACTGAAGTTTGAGGCCCTTTGATCACAGCAACTCCCCATTTTCCTACCTGTCAGTCCCTGGTGACCACCATTCTGTTCTCTGATTCTAGGGGCTTGTCTACTTCAGATCGCTCATATAAATGGAATCACAAAGTTGTATCTTCTTGTGACTGGCTTATTTCAATTAACATAATCTCCTTCAAGCTTCTGAATGTTTTGATGCATAGCAGAATTTCCTTTTGTAAGACTTCATAATATTCCATTGTAAGCACCTTCCAGCCTTAAGATGTACAGTATTAAGTGTGTAATATTTGATTTTTCCTATGAAAGCCACACTTGATGCTAGTGGCAGGGTCAGTTGCAGAATTGCAGACACTGAATGCATCAATGGATTTTCACAGTTCAATTCTACTTCATGGAAAAGACTTAGAAAAATAGTAATACCAGTGTTTATTGAATTATTGATGGTATACAAAATCAAATCTTTTACAAAATTTCATTTAATCAGAAATTGTATTATCAGGAAAAATGAAGAGGCAAAGACTATTGTTCTTCTCATTTTGCAGATGTGGAAATTGGGCTATAAGTTAAGTAATTTGACCAAATAAAATAGCTAATATGATGCAGAACTGATGACCGTATTGTCTAAGTCTGATGTTTATAACTCTATGCCATAATTCATTTTCATAAAAAGGGATACCTGTCTTCAAAATCAGAATGTTACCCTGTTCATCTATTTCAGACATGCTGGCTGTAGTGAAATCATTGCTAGAAATATTTTTACCAAGGAGGTTAGTGATGTAGGTGATGTACACTTAGACAGTATTATGGTTTAAGTAGTGCTAGAAACCAGTGTGGTGTACACCAGTGATCGCATGGTCACCTTCCCTGATTTCCATTCCAACCCGATCTCGTCAAGTCTGAGGCCAGGTTATTGACGTGTTGATTGAGATTTTTTTTAAAATCTGTATTTGTCAGAGTGCTCCAGAGAAACAGGACCTATAAGATCTATCTCTCATCTATCTACCTATCATCTACCTACCGTCCTACCTTCATTATGAAGGATTGACTAATGCAGTTGTGGAAGCTGGTACACGCAAAATGTACTGGGTGGGTCGGTGGTTCTGGAGATCCAGAGAGAGAGAGCTGCTATTTCAGTCCAAAAGTTGTCAGCTGAACAATTCTTCCTTACCTGCGAAAGAGTTGGGTTTCTTTCTAGCTGAACTTCCAATGACCAAATGAAGACCACCCGTGTTATAAGGGGAAATCTGCTTCGCTCTATTGCTTAAAATATTAATTTAATCTAATGTTAAATTTAAATATTTCTTTCATCCAAAAACACTGTCACAGAAACACCATGAATAATATCTGGCAAAATTATCTGGGCAACCTTGGCCCAGACAAGGAATCTGGAGATCATCATTCTATTTGACTCTTCATCATTCCCTACATGCAAAGATTTGAACACATCTTGCCTCATTCTTATAGTTGAAAACTTGAAAGTCACAGAAATAGAAATATGCATACCTCATTTTTGATTACATGAAATTAACTAGAGAATGTAGCATATATTCCAAGTGAGACATTTTAAAATCCACTTTATTGATGCATACATCATATTTGTAAACACTGCAGTTTTTAAATGATCAATCAGTGATTTTTGAGCAATATATAGGCAAACCTCCATGTTTATTATTTACTGGACATTTCTATAACCTAGAAGTATCCCTCAAGCCCCTTTGCAATATGTCTTTCAATCTCTAATATCACTAATACAATATCTGTTGCTATTGCTCAGATATCTTTTTTTTTACCAAAAATTAAAATTTCCTCTTTGTGCATTGCTTAACATTAAGAGATGAGGTGACCCTGGATAGAGTTATGGTTTAAGGAGTGCTTGAATCATGTGAGAAATTTGATCCACATTTGAATAATATCATTTGAACAGATAAGTGATAAAATGACCATCAAAAGTTCTTTCCAAGCCAGGCATTGGTGGCTCACACCTGTAATTCTAGTTACTTGGGAGGCAGAGATCAGGAGAATCACATTTCAAAGTCAACCCAGGGCAAATAGTTCATGAGACCTTATCTGGAAAACACCCTTCACTAAAAAGGGCCAGTGGAGTTACTCAAGGTGTAAGCCTTGAGTTCAAACCCCAATATTGCAAAAAAAAAAAAAAAATTCTTTCCTGCTGAGAATGGCTGATTTTTACAACTTTTATTTCATTCACTCACTTATTCATTCAGTTATTCATCCATTCATGATACTTTGACAAAAAATAATATCCAAGGAAATTATTTGAGCTAATTAGCTAGGCTTCTTGTTCACATGTATGTGTTCTGGGGCCAAGCAAGCCACACAATAATGACTTCATTGAGGGATGGTATCACATTGGGAGAAAGGATTCCTTTGTTTTCACCATAAGTTTCCAACTCATTAAACATGAAGCTGGAGTAGAAAGCCCCCCTTTTCTGTTTGTCCTGGGCACGAGGATCCCGTGCTGTGTGTTCTTTTCTCTCCTCTAGATTAGGGAAGTTCTAGGCACAGACGGTGGGAGCACTTATGGATCTGCCGAACCCTTGCTCCACAGCTTCATTTGTGGTGACACTGTTGAGCTCTCTGTCATCTTCAGCCTCAGCTCCTATGCCTTTTTCTCCCAAGCCTCAAAGACTGAATGACCAAGACCCCAGACTTCTGCATGTGCTAAAAGGAGTTCATCACAGGATCAGAAACATAAAATCTTGTACTCTGCGCCAGCTACATAACTTATTTTCAGAATCTTTTACAAATTTTGTAAGAATTTGAAGGTCAGAGCAGCAGAGTTTTAAACCAATGTGAGTTCCTTCTAAGTTTGGATATCCATGCAAGAAGATAGTTCTTAAATTCCTCTGTATTTACTACTTAATAAGTGGCAGGCATCCTGTAGCAGGGGAAATTCCTCATGAAATATAATGTCTCAAATAAAACTCATCATTTTTCCTGACCCTACTGTCTGCCACCTTTCTCAAGTTACTTACAAATCTCTACCTCTTTGTGTCAAATGGACATTTTCAGTGCTGAGAGCTTGTCATGTTCCAAAAAAAGAGGCCAGTGACCAGTGTGAGGTGGTTCTGTGGTGTGGGCTAACTCTGAAACCAGGAACCAAGTTCTCTGAGTGTCTGTGAATGCACTGTAGAACATTTGACAGGCATCCTACCCATCAGAGAATCCACAAGAAACAGCAAAAGAATTCCTCAAATGTTGACAAGTTTCCTCCTGGGACTTGGAAATTGGATACTGAAGAGACTTTAATAAAATTGTGGTCAATTAAGCAGTTTAGGAAAGGATACATGAAGGAGAATTTGGGGCACACAAATTAAAGTCAGCAAGAAGCCATAATGATTTTCTTAAAATTATAGACTACAGAAATACTTGGATAAACAAGACCCATGTGTTAAGGAGGAATTACATCATCACAGGAATATAATATACAAGAAGTATAAATGGTTTCACAAAAAGGTTAAGAAGAACTTGTGTCAATGTGAACAAATGCATTTCACTCTAATCTTTTCCCTCGTGTATTTTTTTTTATTTGACCCTCTGGGGAAGGGGTGTGGCCCTCATGGTCACAGCAAGCCTCTGGGGTCCAGACAGGAAGAGTGAGGACTCAGAAGGACTCACTAGAAAGCTCTGTTCTTTCTCCAACATAAGGAAGCAGAAGACGCTTCTGTGGCGTGTGGTCCTACCATGAGCCTCAGCTTCCTGTACTGTGTGGCCTTCTGTCTACTGTGGGCAGTTAAGTCCTGGGTAGGCTCAAGGGTGGGATTCAGGGTACCAGGCCCACGTTTGTCCA